CCTGCTACAGTGCGCCACAGTCTTTGCATCAGTGCTGTCACTCACTGCTATTGCTGTGGATCGCTATGTTGTTGTAGGTAAGGAAGGAAAAGTGTGTCTTAATTATCAAAAAAAAAAAAAAAACTGTTCTGTCTGAAAAAAACAGCTTGTCAAACCTCAGCAGAGATATTCAGTGGGGACACAAACACATTTTTAGCCAATTTCAACTCAGCAAATATATCTTGAGTAAGCTCTCGATGGAAAACAGAACTACTTCATTTTAAACTGTTCATTTTAAACCAAATTCACTTACATAATGTGCTCTCAGTGTTTATTCACTACTATGAGTTTTTTGACAACTTTCAGAGGCCAAAGCAGAATTAACTGTCACACAGCGCTAACCAACACCAGCACTGCACTGTGCTGCCTGTTTCACAGAGTATAATATACTTGTAATTAGATGAAGACAGAAAACATCAGTTTAATTTTCACAATCTGGGATCATTAGCATCAGATGCAGCCTGGGTCAAAGTTCAGAGGTTACACCAAAATAGGTTACATTCAGGATGAATTATGATTGGTGACTGATTGGTGCTTTTAGTTTTATTTTTAGTGGTTTACCGTTGCAAAGTTACAATAAAGGGTATATAATAATTGCCTTTTTAAGAACATCTTTTTGAGTAGTTTGAAGTAAAGTTGATATCGGTATGGATATTGATACTCAAATCCAGTATCTCAAGTATCAATATCATAAGTGAAAACATTGTATCAGTGCATCCATAGGAGGAGTCGTTAATGCAAGGCAAGTCCACATATGTTCTAGAGAATCTAGACTGACTGGTGGCCAGACTCAGGTGATCACTCCATAGACATTTCTGTCAGAGGTCACAGTTAATCCGTTCTAACATCTCACTTGCTAGGCTCAACTCCTCAACATCTCAGCTATGAATCAGAGAGAGTTAGTATAATATAGCTTTGATTGAATGTAAAATGGAATTGACATTAATCAAGAAAAAAATTTTATCTCTTATTGAAACAACAAAGATGTTGCTTGGGGCTACTTTGTTCAACTTAATTATTGAATTATTGATACCACTAATCTATTTACCTTAATAACCTAACAGCTGTCACTTATTCACTTGGTCCACATCTGTTCATCCTCAAGAAAAAAATAACATGACTATTCGTCATATGTTTATTCAGATGCAGGGCCACCCAAAATACCAATTACAAATGGTAGATGTAGATTATTTTTAATATGTGTACATTTTTCTCCAAGTCTAACCCTAAAAGGTGGGTGGGGTATCTGGTGTAAAATCTATGCCAAAGCATGTTAAAAAAAAGTTCAACATACACAAAACACACTTGAATTAAGATGGTAGAAGGACCATTTTGTATGATAATTTTATAATAAATGAGTTGAAACCTTTTTTGTTATGGCTGTTTAAAGATGCTTCATCCCCAAGTGGGACCAATTATAACTTTGATCTCACATGTATATAACATGTGTTTTAGAAATCTTGTACTTTCTTCAGCTGGAGTAAACATCCAGCTCCACCTTTGAGAAACCTCTTTCAACTTAAATTTAGTCTCTTAACGCTAAAGAAAATAAGAAAGTAATCAATTAGGTTTTACTCATCATAATATAGAATAAAGAGTATTTTCCATTTTAATTGTGTATACCATAAAAGACAGCATTACTTGATGCCATAGACTGGTTAAACATGGTTCACATCAAAATAAACTGAAAATAATCCCAATCTCCTGAATATACGTATATCTGACTTTCTTTGTTGTTGCCCTCTAGCTCACCCAGTGCGTAAGAGGATCTCTGCATGTGGCTGTGGAGCAGTCACACTGGGCATTTGGCTTTTATCTCTTATTTTGGCTGCACCTCCATCTTTCTTCACTCGCTATCTGGATTGGAGGCCTGATGGGATCGATCTAGTGGTGTGTGAAGAATTCTGGCCAAAAAGTGGCAATCTACGACTCCTCTATTCCTGCTTCATCCTCATTGCCTCTTACATGATTCCACTGCTGTCTGTGAGTGTGTCCTACTGTGCCATCACCGTTAGCCTGAAGCGTTACGCGGTGCCCGGCGAGCCCGCACACAGCCAGCAGATGTGGAGCCAGAGGAGGAAGAAGACCTTCTCTCTGCTGGTGGCCTCAGTGCTGGCCTTTGCTCTGTGCTGGCTGCCTCTGCAGGTCAGATTTGGGTATCAGAGGGTTTGGGATTGGATAATGTACAGGAGCTCTTCATTAAGTTATTAAGTATAACCATTACACTCTCCACTGTGACCTCTAGCTGCTTTTGAACTAAGGTAAATGAAAGCATGATTGTCACAGTGATGTCCAAAGACATGGTGACATTGCTATAAAGTTAACACTGAACTTGTATTGTAACTTGTAAACACTTGTATACATAACTTATGTGGCACCATCACATAGCACCTCGCCATATCTTTTGTACTTAACATTCTCTGCTTCTCTCTGTAGGTGCTGAACCTCTTACTGGACCTGGACCCAGACTTTCAGATCATAGGAAAGCGCTACATAAACATCCTCCAGGTGTGCTGCCATTTAGTGGCCATGAGCTCTGCCTGTTATAACCCCTTTATCTACGCCTCTCTGCACAGTAAGGTGCGCATGCACCTGAGGGGATACCTGTGCCCATGTGGCCACAAACAGGCCCGGATCACGGAGCGGGGATCCTCTCGGACCTGAACTCCTCAAGCTGTAGGCACTATCAAAGGCTGAGACAAAATGATTGTCTGTTTTTTGAACATCACATCTCCATATTTATGCCTTTTTTGTGTCTTCTTCAAAAATCATGGTGTTTAAGGCAGCAGAAGTAAACAAACACAAAGCAGGCTGCACTATGGCACCTGTGCTGATATCCATCGTCACAGAGCAGAGTTTCTTTTTTTTCAGCTCCAGCAGGCTTTCAGACTCTGAGAGCAGATTGGACAGCTTAAAGGTTGTTGGGACTCTCAGGGTGGGGCCCAGGGCACTGGTGGAGGCTCAGGCACATTTAGGAGCATGTCACACTAAAACAGAAACATCTCACATCAGAGAGCTGACCGGACCTTGAACCGTCCTCACTACACCACAGAAGAACACTGTTACAAATGGCCATCTTTGTACCTAAATGTCAGTTTTACCTGCTTTGTGTCTCACTCTGATGTGATGTCTGCGTATTACTCGTCTGCGTTATGAAACACTCATTTATTTACAAGTGATATTACTATTGATATTCATTAATGGGAAATCCGGTCACAGTGAGATCACTTTCACACTCTTGGCTTTAACTCAGTACAAATTTAGAGAGTCCCTCAGGGACAAGGCCTGAATGTCAATGCACAAATAATTCTGCTTCATCTTTGATGCATGTGTCTTGCTTTTGTTCAGAATAAACAGGGTTCAAGGATTTAAATAACATTGTTAATGTTCCTCATTCTGATTCAAATGTTTACACACTGCGTATGCTTCTGAAAGCACTGTAACATTCAGTAGCATTTATCAGCAAGCACACAGGTGCTCCTTTAAACCTGCAGATGACCATGAGTCTGGCAGAGTGGAAAACACCACTTAATAAGGTTTTCTCTGTATTGCACATGCTCATTCATTTTTTTTTTTGTCTGATTGAGCCTTGAGAAGGTATTTGGTTCAATAAATTTTAGTGTTTGACGTGATGTATTTTTTAAAAGAGGACCTAAAAAATAAAAAATCTGTCTATAGGAAATAATAGGAAACACAAACATGTCACCAAATGGGGTTGTCTAAACATAAAAGTATGCCCTATACTTTACACAGCCTGTGGCACTGTGCTAAGAACCACAGGGGACTATAGACCACTGTGACCTTAAATGAAGCAGCGCTTAACCCAATAAAAACTGACACTAAACAACAGTGAGGGTCTGAAAGAGAATTTATGGTAAAACGTTTATGAGACAAGCTGCAAAAAACAAAACAGCTATTACGTTATGCATGTTCACAGAATTAGTTTAAACAGTTGTACGTTGATTGTTGATTGTTCTTATATTTTGACCTAATAAAAAAAATAAATGCTTTATTTCAGAGATGTTGTTTATCAATTTTGTTGTTTAAATAGATAAGCACATGCCTCGTTCTATCACTCAGAATGAGGCTGACTGTGGGGTGGTATGACAATCTCTTCAAAATAGCATATTGTCACAGCGATGGATCACCATTCAATTGTTTATTGCCATATTTCCCGTCCCTAATAGAGGGGGAGATGAGGGAGTTGTGAGTGTATAAGGTGAACCACATAATCAATAAGGCAATATTGATCTTGTGAGTGGGTCTAGCAGCATTCATGTTGGCCAATTAAAAGCTTGGTCAGAAGAAAATTTTCTAAAGATTTTCAAATACAAATGTAAGTACTTTTGCTTGTGTATCTTGAGATGTTCTCTGTAGTTGTCAAGTTGGGTCTATCTGCCTATGCCCCTTCCACTACTGATGTTCCAGAGGGTGCCACTAAGCCATCTTTTAATGTAGATTCTTTATGTAAATTAGATTTTAGTTGAGCTCTAATATTCACCCATTGTAATGACTCTTTATGTATGTTTTGGCTCTTTCTTCTCTTAATCAGCAAAAACATAAATTAGCACATAATAACCATGTCCATTTGTGATCTGGGGCCCTAAAGACTTTTTCAAATGGCATGTATTTACTTTGGCAACGCTTTATCATTCGCAAGTGGTAGAATATAGACTGGAAATTGAACCTTTGAGACATTTTTTATCATTTTAAAGACATCAAGGCAAAACAGTGCAATGAAAATTTGAGTTTATATTGTATAGTAGCCAGCCTTGTGCTAATGCAGTATTGACAACCTTGCGAAAAGTGCTATCAGGCTGCAGCAGGCATAGGGGATTAAACCATTGATTTAACCTTCATGACACAGTGTAATAGTCTACAGCATTTAACACAAGTCAACAGTCTTATACTCTTCTTATGGAAATTCTAATAATTAAATAATTAAAAAATACAGACATAGATACATTTAATAAATATTTATTTGAAGATAGACTACTACATTCTGTACAGTTCTTTTCCTGTTTATTTTGAATGGTTTTAAATGACAGAGGCACTGATAGAAGAAACCAATATTATTGATGCCTACACCACAGATGGAGAATGGACCATTTTAAAAAAAATAACTCTATAACAAGAAGCCTCTTTAACACCCGGGGTGCCTGTATCTGAGTGAGGAAGAAAACGCTTATCAGTAATGGCATGAAAGAATACATTTGAATAAGATACATTACACACAAACACAGTGATCTTATGTAAATCAAACCAATAATTAGTTTACAATATTTCAGTTTATTTATACTACTAGGGTTAAACATACTTAACAGTAGTTTATTTGTTTCACAGTCACTGAGATGTGAAGTGCTTCTGAAGCGCATGCTTTTATGTAGCTCTTAAATGCAACAGGGTCACACAATCACAGACAGAATATTGTAGTCCAGATTGGAAGGAAAAACACAAGAGCTCTTCAACTATCGCTGTGTCCATCCACAAGTGCAAGTACTGCCATTGAACAACACTTGGGACCACCAAACCTGGGACTGCAATCCAATTATACAGATGCATGTTATTCAAACATCTCTTCAGCTCCAAGCACAATCTGATGGAGCCACTGGCAGCCATGTTGTGTCTCTCAGGAGGCTGATTGTCTCTGCATAAAGGCTTTGTGTTCCGCAAACAGTCCTGCATCTCCTTCATTAACTTCTAGATTGAGGTTTGTCATACATAATTCATAGCAACACTTTGAATATACAAATAAGTGTCTGACAGAGCAACTCTTATCAGGCTATGATTTCAACATATAATGTTGTTTATAAATACAGCTTGGAACCTGTCCCACGCTCAGACAAAGAGAGAGAGAGAGAGGGTAGCATTTGGAGAAAAATTGCAAATTAGAAAGGAAATCTTTGTTGTTTGTGACCGATAATTAAATGCCACTGCAATCTGTCAGTGAGGATATAACATGCAGATAGTAATAACTTTCTCAAGAAGCTCTCCCACACATGAAGGACATGTAAACCAAATCTATTTTCAGTTTTATATTAGATTATTTTTTATGTCTCTTTGTGCTGTCAACACACAGTCCTCAGTCTGTGACCTTGTTTGTCTGCTACAGCAGGACTTCACATCGTTCTGAACCCCATTACTGACCAGCACATACAGCACTGGGTCCACCACACAGTTGAGACTAGACAGAGCCAGTGTGCATGAAAAGAAAAAGTGCATTTTCTGCTCGAACTGGCAGTAACTACTATTGAAATCTGTGTTTGTGCTAGTATAGAAAACTAGAGAACGCACGAGGAGGAGGATGTGGTAGGGTGCAAAGCAAAAGGAGAAGATACCTATCACACCAAACGACAGCAATCTTACTTTCCTTTTTGCTTGGGCGCTTAAACCAGGACTCTGCCCCACTGTGGCTAGTATTTTCCAGTAGCTAAATGCCAAGATCAGCAGTGGGAGTACAAATCCAAGTCCTACTCTGATCAAGTTGAACAAAACAATTTTATCGGTTAGCGGGAATGTTTCGTAGCACCTGTCATTGCCGTTGACGTCATCGTGTGCGTCCTTTAAGTCATCATTGTACAGCACCAGAGCATGCAGTAACACCACTATGGCATATACTCCCAAACACTGAAGCCAGGCGTAAATGGAAGTCCGATGGGTTTTGGAGTGAAGGGGGTATGTGACCACGAGGCAGCGATCCACAGAGATGCAGCAGAGCAAAAAGATACTAATGTACATGTTGGAATAGTAGAAGAACCCCACGATACTACACGAGAGCACACCCAGCTTCCATTGGTGGTCTTGTTTATAGTAGTTGATCCAAAGGGGCATGGTGAAGATAAAAAGCAAATCAGAGAAAGACAGGCTTAACAAGAAGATCCCAAGCACGTTCTGTCGGCGTACTTGTTGGATGATAGGGCCCAAAGTTAATAAATTAAAAGCCAAACCAAATATAAAAGCCAAAATGTATACGGACATCAAAACGTCACTGATAAGGCTCTCGCCGATTTGAACACAGACGTCTTTAGACGAGTTTGCTGTGGTGGTTTGCATTGTTACGTTCATCGTTTCTTGAAAGGTTGTAAATTCACCTGCAAGACAAAAAAAGACTGAATGAGTCAAAACAGCAAGCCAAAATTTCCTCATAGCTGTTTTTAGAATGGACATTTTCTGTTTCACGTTATATTCAAGGTTGAGTTAACTCTGTAGCCTTTGTGACTGATAATAGTTTTGATTTGTGTTTTTTCCCCCTAGAAGACAAACAGGCTTAGTCATAGTTTCTGCAGCTAACTCATTGCACCCACTCAGAGCTATAACAGAATTAAGGCTGCCAGAATTTCCCTTTGGTTGCCATTAATCAGAAAATAGATTCTCTTCCCCTTTAGTGGATGTTAAAGAGGTAGAGAAGCTGAGGTGGCTGCTTATACTGCTGCTGCGGTGAGTATGGGGGACACAAGGTTTGTGACACGAAGCTAAGGGGCAGAAGGAGTATATGAAGGGTACCTATGTCTGATTCACAGGTTTTGAATGAAATGGCCAAACTGAAAATCCACAAGTAAAACCAGATTATGTGTTGTATGTCACTGTTTGAAGCTATTATGTCTATGTAACTTCACTGGTGAGGGTCCATTACCAAGGAGATACCGTTGCTTTTCCGGGAATGTTCTGTAGTTTGGCATTAAACTTATCTATTTTACATTTATTCAATTACAAGTGTTTTCATTGCTAAACACACTGAAAAACATTTAAGGCAGAGCTATTACATCTCCGTGGAAACAAGCAGGACCCTTCAACAGAAAAATTACATGGCCCGGCCCCAGCTCAGTTTTAAACTATGGATTATGATTTGAATAGTCTGGTTGAATCATCATTTGATTTATCACTATACTTTACTTATAAGGAAAAAAAAACTCTTTGCACAGTATTCTAGTTGCACTGCATAACCTTGATATGAATTAAAAACAATCTAAGCACAGTCAACACACAAATCATTGGCAATTGGCAGTCATTTTTGCTTAATTAAACTTAAGAGCAATTTTCCATTGAAGACACAAAACCCCAATAATACTACTGTCCGGTAAAGATGTTAATTTGAGGTATTGGTTCTGATTTCAACAAGAGGTTGTGGGTGTATTTTCTTAAATCTCTTTTATCACTCTTCCTTTGCTGAGAGTGAAAGCCACTAAAGATAGAACAACATAAGAACTCGCAAATGTGTGAGAAGCAGATTAGGAAGTCCCTCTATTTCATCATTATGAACTTTATGCAGTTATTTCAGTTTCTGTTGGCCCCAGTCCCACTGTGTTTATGATCTACGGAAACATCTAATGGCATTACCGCCAAGACTGCGATCAGCCATTCCATCTTAACCCAATAATGGAGACATCATTTAGAGCGGGCCATCTTTGGAAAATAATAATACTCATAATGGCTATGAGAGTATATATAGTTACAGACAAGTTTGTACCTTGTTTTCATATTCACTTTTAAAACTGTTTTTAAGTACCTCAAAAATATCAGAAAAGGTTATGCCAGGATACCCACAATAAATATAATTTAATAAATGGCCATACACAATATGTACTAATTATACAGTTATCAGATATAGGAAGGTTGCCACCAAGGCCTTGCTGTTAATGTATTTTTCTTTTTGGAATAAGACCTACATTATACAACCCCCCACCTTATTACAAATACACATGACTCTATGGTCTGTTTGAAAATGATTCATTACATTTAATCAACCAGATACTGCATACCTCTTAAGGAAGCAGATAGAAAATATTTTATGGTGAAAGATGTTGTTTATAGTCTCTCTCCTGGACACCTGGGTTGTTAGAGTCCAGGCTGCATTCCTGTAAATCTCTGCAACTAAATCTTGTTGACAAGAGGCTTTGCTGTCCGCTACAGTGCAATAGCTATATTACGCAATTACCCTATAGTGGTACTACTGCTGGAAAAAAAAAAAAAAAAAAAAAAAAAGATATTAAAAATCCTTACCTCTTTTACTGTGTCCTAGTTTGGTGAAGGTTAGTTGAATCTTGCTGGACGACTCATCCACATTCTATGTCTGTTTCACATTTGTCTTTCTGTTAGGTCAACTCCAGAGACTTCACAACTGCACACAAACAATTCAAAATGTCATATAGGTATTACAGCATATTAGATCAGTCTGGACCTGTGTCTCTCCACTGAAGAACAGGAAAAATGTAAGTTGAAGGAGGTCAGTTAAGTGTGCTATGTCAGGACGAGCGAGCAGACCGAAAAAGCAAAGACTACTCACATGTTGGGAGGAGAGTTCTGTTCTTACGTACACGGAGAAGTAGACTGCTGGGAGGGGTGAATGTGAACACTGTAATGGAACACAAGTGATACATTTGTGGGCTGGTCTGAAGTCACTGCAAAAACATAAATCAGGAAATGACAACTTTGTGGTTACAGACTCCCAAATGAGAGGGGGCCAGACTTCTTCCTCTTTAATACGAATGAAATAGGAAGTGAGATTGCAGACTACGTACCACCTACATATCTCAATCATCAGTTATTCAGTTATAAATGTGCACAGCTGTAGGTTAAAGATAATTTTAACTGTTTGTATAACCGATGTTTGTTTGGTCTGTGGATTACCTTAAAAATAGTCCAGTCATCTCTGCCAAGTATATGGTCTTCTGATGTTCCATGTTTAATATACTAAAGAGCTCTTTGGTATAATTCAAAATATATTGATTTCAGTAAACCATAGCTGTCTTGATCGGAATAAAACTGAATCAATATGTCCTTATTACTGTAATGCAACCAATGTCATAATTCTTCTTATAGCCTGTGTTAGATATAGTTTGAAATTTTAACCTTTAGTTTCAATTTTATTTCAGAGATTCGGCAGGTTTATACAAGGAACAATATTTTGCTACACACATTTGCCACTTATTTACTTACATATTTACATTATAGCCTTTCAAATCACTGTTGCAAACATATTTCCACACTTGCCTAATGTTATAAATTAATTAGCAGATGTCCTTGAACTAGAACAAACCTTGAACAAAAGCCCAAGCATACTTTGGTCTCGCTGAGTATATTTTTAGTAATCGTAAAGCTACACCATAGTGCTGAATGTGATTTTGGGAGCGCAAACAACACAGGTCTTGTTGTATGCAATTATCACATCCCATTTCAGAAGTTCTGAAGAAATAAACTGTGGATTTCTGTCTAAACATGGCACAGCTCTGCAATTTAGAGTCATTTAGAAAATGTGTTTACTCTGGGTTATTTCCTTTGCAAACACAATCTGCCTAAGTGCGAAGGCAAGCTCTCCTGCAGACATACCCTTTTAATGCACTTGCAGCCATGTGGAAGTCATCTGTGGCTAGTAGGCCTACTACAGATCTGCTGGACGTCATACAACTCTTGACATAAACTCTCATAAGCCTTTCAGTGTTTCTGTGTTTAAATGGCCCATATACACTATTTTCTGATTTATGTTACAAACTGATTATTTCACAAACATACCTGGAGTTGTCTTTTGTTTCATTCACACACACACACACCCACACCCACACCCACACACACACACGCACACACACACACGCGCACACACACACACACACACAGATGGACTAATAGTAAAGGGTTACTCAAACGAATGAAATAAAATAATACAACAGGTAGGTAACAACATTCTAACATGACTTAAAGCTCTCAAGAATCAATTTTGTGTAATATAGGAAGTATAAGTTTAAGTATATATTTTACCACAGATCTCAACAGACATTACTTACCAGCAGCTTAGATAAATTGTGATCTGATAACAGACTTGAGTTCTCTGTATACTAGTATTTGGAAGAAAAGAAAACAGAGCATGTGAAAATTAGACAAAGAATGTATAATGAGTTACAAAACAATGTGCCTTTAAGCTTCTTACTTTCCAATGATTATGCCCCATTTCCAGTATACTCCTACCTCTACCTCCAGCCTTTTCATGTTATATCTTGTTGGTCCTTACTCAACCAATCTAAGTAAGTTTAGCCTATTCAAACTGAAAGTATAGATGCAGTACAGCATGCTGTCATCCTTTGGGGGGAATTGAATCACTATGGCTGGGTGGGTTGCTAGTATTGCTTGGCTTGATTATCAAACTAAACCTTTTGAGCTCAATGACTGTGGAGGAGAGGATCTCTGGGAGGTCCCACAGGCTATAAAGACCAGCTCTGACTGTGCAAAGACCATTTGAAAATGCATCAGAAGTGTCCTTGGTCTACTTTCATTGTCAACATGTTTGTAGAGGACAAACAGAAGACACTGTTGCAATTGGCTGAAAGAAATAAGTCTATTGTCTGACATGGGTGAGTTTGAATAAATAGCTATACAATCAGTCTTAGTGCTTTTATCACTGTTCCAAAACAATTACAATTTGGCGTATTTTGAGATACACACAAGTTACCTATTTTAAATCAAATTTTAACATGTTTAACTTTTTTCCCCCTCTAGACTTAATTAAATTACATATATTGTGATGGTTAATTTAACACATTTGGACAAATGGCATGTCAACATGGTTTGGTAACCTCTCCGTCAAACTTAAAGCACAGATTTTTACCTTGACTAAAAGAGCAGGTAAAATAATGGGTGTGGCCCCAAGCTCACTTTAGCTAATTTTTGAGGAGACTGTTAGGAAGCTTGACAGGAAGGTGATCAATGACCCAACCCATGTTCTTCACAGTCAGTTTGAGTTGATGCCATCAGGCAGAAGGTACAGAGTCCCAAACTGTAAACTGAACAGATTCAAACATTCTTTTGTGCCACTAGCTGTTAATCTGCTAAACTCAGATAGTGCAGTTAAAAAATAATTATAAAAGGCTTAGGGAATGTGCAATTAAAACTACACATAGGCTTAAGGAATGTGCAATAATTAAATCTGCACATAGGCTAAGGGAATGTGCAATTAAAACTGCACATAGGCTTAGGGAATGTGCAATAATTATAACTAAAACTGCACACAGGCTTAGGGAATGTGCAATCAAAACTGCACATAGGCTTAGGGAATGTGCAATAATTAATAGAACAGAAGAATGCAAGGGCTTGCCTGTTAAGGATAATTTAAGGGTCCTGTTGGTGAATCACTCGTGGTCATACTTGGTCTCATATTTACTTTGTTTTATGGTGTTTGTTTATGTGCTTTGTGTTGTGTTGTCCTGTTTTTTGATAAAGCATGTTACCCCCTGTCCCAAGACAAATTTCTCCCATGGGAGACAATAAAGGATTATCTTATCTTATCTTAAATGAACAGACTATTTAGCCCAACATGAATGAACTTTCTCTCTCTGATATGATCAACTCCTTTTCTAAAATAATGCATTGTGTCTGCTATTATTCAAATATATTTAGTCCTGATCAGCAGCTTCTTAAAATGTCCATGCGTTTTACTCTTTTATTAAATTTGTGCTTGATTTGCCGCATAATAAAAAAAAACAGTACTTCCATTTTGCTGATTAGGTGATAGGATAGTGGCAAACCTGGCTACACTTGAGAAGGCAGAAGGGCAACAGAGGAGTTATACAGACCAACGATAGATGTTTTGTGGGTGGAACAAGTGAGCTCTCGGTACAGAGGGAGCAGAGTAAAGAGCACTCATTGCTCAATGTACATCTATTCACATCAGTGGCGTGGTAGACTCATAGGCAGGCCCTCTGTACAGAGAGCCTCTCACTGAGCTTCACGTGGTGTGAAGGTAAAATTTGGTAAATTAAATTATTTTAGGTGTGGCACTGAATGTCATTATTAGGTCCTACTTATATTTATATTATAATGTAATCCCCTACAGATTACAGATTACACACCCCAAAATGTAATTTGTAACGTAATCCATTAAATTACTTAAAGTGAGTAACGTAATCTGATTACTTTGGATTACTTGATATTGTCATGTTTTTTTAAACGACATGAATGTAGCAACCACATCCTCAAAATTCGTGTTTGTTGTCTTCAATTTGTCTGAGCCCAAGTCTCCATGAATAAGAAACTGTTTGCTGTAGAGAAACAAAGACCACGATATCTTAATATAAGAGGTTTTGTCTGTTAAAAGACAGTAACAAGATCAGCCTTTCCTTCACCAGATTAAAAAATATTATTGATAGAGAAATTATATGAGATCACCTTAAATTATGTCAACCTACTGTTAGGTGTCATGTTGTTTAGACCTGGTTTAGTCCTGGTTTAGTCCTGATTTTTAGACCTGGTCTAGACCAGGTCTTTAGTTCTGGTTTAGTCGTGGTTTAGTCCTAGTTTAAACCTGGTTCAGTCCTGCTTTAGTCCTGGTTTAGTCCTGGGTTAGTCCTGATTTAGTCCTGGTGTTAGCTCTGATTTAGAGGCGCACAGGAGGAAGTGCGATTTACGCGAGAAAACACGGTCCACACGCGGCGCACGAGACGGCGGTGTCCGCGCTGTAACTACGGAAGGAGACGTGGTCCGCGGGTTCTCAGGTTGATGACGATGATGAAGGTGTTTGTGTGTGTTTGTGTGTGTTTGTGTTTGTGTGTGTTTGTGTGTGTGTGTCCCCTCATGTGGCAGGTCACTATAGGACAGTAGTGTAGATATTATGAGTCTATGCAGGTTGTTTTCACCAGTGCCAGTAGCTCCGGTTTCACATTTAAGTTGTAGGCGATTTTATATTTGTTTTTTTATATATATATCTCACATCGGGAGAAGAATTTCCAAGACACAAATGCGTTTTTACCAATGCACTGCTGCTTCCACTGTGTGACTGACACCTCCAACTTTAACATGACGTTTACGTCGCTCTTATTGCGCGCGTTCTGTTTGGGCTTCAGGCAATGAGTGAAATTACCGAAATAAAAAAATAAATAAATGGGATGTAGCACAAAATGTGAAAACAGGAAAATACCGCTTTGTAATCCACTTATTTCAGCAAAGTAACTGTAATCCAATTACCACTCATTGAAACAGTAACTGTAACGGAATACAGTTACTCATAATTTGTACTCTGATTACGTAACGGCGGTACATGTAATCCGTTACTCCCCAACACTGTATATAGATATAGATATAGATATATATAGGACATATATATATATATAGATATATATACACACACACACACATCCTGAATTTGAATAATTCCTGGTTATAGCCTCAGCCTCACTGTTCTGTCATTAATTCACAGCTCCATCATTTAGATCATTTTTGATTACATCAGTTTTGTCTGAGTTTAGCTAAAGAAAGTTGTTTTATATCCACATACTGATCTGTTGGATGCAATGGCAGAGTGAATTCACTGGTCCATATTCACCTGCCACCTGCCTGAGTGTCATCTGCACAGTTATAGGAGAAAGCATGCAGAGATTAAACAAAAGGGGTCCTGGGATTGACCCCTGGCTTTAATATCTAAGGAGATGGCTCATTTGCAGAACGTTAGAAACTGTTGATAAACAACTATTTTAGGTCTGGACACTTCACCAGCCTTACCTCCATTTTGCCAGTTGCACTTAAACATACACATCTTAGCTGGATTTGATCTCAAAGTGTGCTATACAGATTAAGTTATTTTTCATGTACATATGTGTGAAAAAGAAACAAATAGAACTGGAGTGAGCCATTTACAAGGTTGGGATTAAAGTTAAGAAGGTTTTCACAAAAATGTATGTGGTATGTTCAAAAACTGTGCTGGAGTTTAAGAAAATGTACATACATATTTGTATGTGTCTATCATGTAGCTTTCCTTCATACAAACACAAAGCCTTTATGTTTAAAAGTCAGTTATTGATGGGACCAGTGAATGGGGATTTTATTCTTTAGACAGATTACTCAAAGCAAGTCGCAGCTGCAAACTGACAGTTTTGAGTTTGTAATTACACACTTCAGTGGTTAAAAAAGGGACTGGTTACTCAGTTGAAAAACTATCATCTCCAAATTCCACACTGTACAAACAGTATGTATTTTAACAAGATACTTAAATTAAATCTGTATCAGTTAGAGGCAAATCACAACCAAACACACTTTGGAGTCATTCAAAGTTTATTTTTTCTGTTATGAAGTATTCTAAGACATGTTGTACATTCTACAGGTAAAATATACTTTGAGATAGACATGCCTATGACTACACTGTGTTTACATTCTATGATAAACCTACATCACTCACAGGAGCATGCAACATTCTAACATATCAAATAATCAACAGTCAAACAACTCAATCTAGCCAAGAACTGCTGTTCATTACCTGCTCTGTATGATGTCTACACTACAGCTGGTGCCAACTTGTGGGACTTGTGGGATTTACAGTATGTCTGTGAGTTACAGGAAAAAGCATTTCACTTGTAACTTTTAGCTGTGCTCTAGAAAGTAAAACCACAAGATACTTTCACAACTTGTGTTTCAGAAATTATGATTATTAACAGAGGATTTTGTCATCCGTAGATCAATGTTAATTATATTAAGGAATAAGGACAGCAAGTTTAGAAACCTTGGTGAACTAAATTGATTTGCCAAATGATTTTATGTCTGGATGAGTGGCATTTTCAGGGGAATCATATAATATTAAATGGAAAGGCGAAGGTTTACTGGCGAATACACAGGATCTGAAATAAGGAGAGCAGTATTCAGTATGCCTACATGTTGAGATGAAAGAGGACCAACAAGTGAATCTCTACAGAGAGGTTTTGATGACTTCAGGCTGTGGAGAAATGTAACTTATTGCTGAATTGAGTGCTGACACAGAGCCAATGTCTGCTGTGAGTGTTCAAACAGCTGCACTCCATTTGAAACAGTTTTTCCTTCTAGTGGAGTGTGTCAGAGGATGCTGACCCTCTCGGTCAGACACTGCACATCTGCGTCCTCAATAGTGCCCTCATCATCAGAGGCAGGAGCTGGGGGAGGGGGCACCAGGTGAGAGGGGTAGGCTAGTGTATGGTCACGAGCATAAGCCTGCCAGCGGCTGTCATCACTCTCATGGGTGATGTAACGCTCGCCCAGTTTGGTCTCCAGCTCTCTCAAGTCCAACCATGTTTGATAGTCCTGAGAAAAGCACATGCGGGTGGATCAGTTTCAAATCTAAAAGCATTAGAATTAGATCAAGCTTTTTATGTTCATAAAACATCTTCAAGTAATCAAGTTAGCTTGTTTGTGCTATTAGAGCTCAAGTGACCCAGACTGAGCGACGTCCCACTGTTTAGAGCCGCTGACCGGACATTTTAAATGGCACTTAAACCCAAGCGCAGAAAGTGTCATTAATTATTCACAACATAATTAAAGCCAGGTTGATGCTCTACCTGGACAACAACAAAACAGTAATTTTAAATTCATAGTAAAGCCTGGAAGGAATACATTTATTTATGAAAGACCCTTAATAAAAAGGTCTGTCTTTACTCTAGTTGTTTTAACAACATTTGCAGGGCATTTAAATTGACTGAACATCAGATAAAACTTTAATAGCAAAATAAGCAGCCATAATTTATAACTAATCAACGAAGCACAATATGTGTCTTTGACTCTAGTCTGTGTTTACACAGTGGAAATATAATGATTTCAGAAGGTGTGAAAATGTAAATCTATTTTAATTTGTTTGGTATATGAGCCTACAAAATTTTACTGCTAGACAGTGTGTGTACCTGTAGGTATACGTGGCTGAGACTCTTGTCGACACTGTAGCGCTTCCTCATTTTGACTTGCAGTAGATTGTTGATTAGATCAATAGCTGAAAAACATTTTCATAAAAAATTGATTTACCCGTTTTGAACATTTACCTTATGCGCCATGCCTTCTAATGTTATTTTACCATCACTGGAGATCTGTTTCCATGGGTTAGGGGGGTACATGAAGGCTGCATTGTGAATCTGATCATTGATGTCTTCATCCTCATTAAAAGGAAACGTTCCGCTCAAGCTAACATACATAATGACCCCCACTGACCACATGTCCAGGGAGCGGTTGTAGCCCTGGTTTAAGAGCACCTCTGGAGCTAGGTAGGCAGGTGTCCCAACAACAGATCGACGGAACGACTTCTCGCCTATGATTCGGGCGAATCCAAAGTCGCATAATTTCACCTAGACATAATGGCAGTTGAGTGAGAGCATTCTTTAAGAAGAAGCTCAATGAACCATGCGGGTGCTTAAAGTGGTTACCTGGGGAAAGGGATCTGCAGATGCCAGAAGCACATTCTCAGGCTTCAGATCACAGTGAACAATGTTCTTAAAGTGCAGGTGTCTCAGAGCTGCAAGAATCTGCACAGGCAGGAAACCACAACAGTATATAGTTTACTAGTTGTTTAAGAGTCTTAAACAACATCAACAACTCAGTTTGGGCCCAGCATATAGTGTACACTGATTTGTACCAATTAGCTTGAATTTAAGTGGCAACTAAATAAGATTTAATGAAAGTAGATACCTAGAGTGGCTGTCTTTTAATTAGTTTGACACTCCCATTTAATCAGTAAATACCTGAGTAATGAGGAACTTGGTGAGTCTCTCTGGCAATCGGCCCTTCTCACTGGAGAGGATCATTTCTAACATGTCACCATGCAGCTTCTCCATCACCACAAAGACCTTCTCTGGGGTTTCAAACATGCACTCCAGGTTCACAATGCCAAGATGCCGCAAACTCTACAGAAGAGAAAAGATTAGTTGCTGCTGCACACTAAAGAAACTATCTCCCCCTGCTGGCCATTGTTACGAAGTACAAGAAAGAGCAACAACTTCTCTACTGTGTTACTGACTGCTTCTGTCTGTATCTAATGGTCATTATAAAAATCCAGAAGTGCTCATACACTTATATAAATTACAGAAGTTATGGTGATGATTGTTCCTCACAATTACATGAAAAGCATGTAACTAAATCATAAATTTGAAAGGAAAAAAGTAATCTGCTCTTCACCTGCAGTATGGCCACCTCATTTCTAAGCTGGCTCTCTTGTTTGGTGGGAAAACGCAGCTTGTCAATGACTTTGACAGCTACATCTCTTCCTGTTTTTCTGTGTTTTCCTAAAAACACAAAATACATAAGAATTGCAAAACAAAAATGTAATGTTATACTTCATATTTTCATTACGTACCTCCATACACCACTCCAAACTGTCCAGATCCAAGTACTTCATCAGCAAATATCTGGTACACTGTGCCAATATCCTTTGGAGAAAAACATACATCACTAATATGATGACTCTAAGATAGATACTGTATCATAATGCATAATGCGTACCACATTCTCTTGAATTTGACTGTTTGAGACAGAAATGCTAACAGAAGCTTGTCCTGTAAACACAGAGGCAGCATACAGGTCAGCCATGTGAACATACTGTTCTTCAAATTAAATAAACGCTACACAGTTCAAAGTGTCCTTACTGTGTGGTGTGTTCCCCTCAGCAGGTGGAGCATCCTGAAAGATCACAGGCATCAGTGCCTGGCGAATGGCACTCTCCCATGCCTTTGCCACTTCACGGCCTATGCCGCTGTTGGGGGCCACTTGGCTGGGTGAGGGGGGTGTTTGGGGAGCAGACTGGGGGTCACTGGAGGGCAAAGAGGGGGCAGTGTTGGGGTCTTCTCCCACAAAGTAGCACATAGTGCCAGTGATGAGTTCAAAGCAGTGAGGGTTTGTGCCAGATGGAACCAGGTTGAAGTTACCAGCCGGACGCACCTCAAGGATTTCAGAAAGGGGGATCTCCTACATGTCCAAGTGAAAGAAACCACATGATCAGGGGATTCAATAACAGTGCCCGGAACTTGACCATTAACATTTTGTATAACTGCATACCTTGTAGTACTTATTGGAGGTGTTGTTCTGGAATAAGATGATGCACTTGCAGTCGAGACGCCAATAGTGCCTTTTTCTCTGATGGAGTGGAGTAACAAAGGTACAGCAGGGCATGAGTGTAGGGGTTTGACAGCAGGGCAATAACATTCTGAGCTGAGCGGCAAAGGAAGGAGTGAAGCCTTGATGATATACAGAAAAATACGTAGAAAGGCAAACTGCATGATGGGAAAATAAAAGAGAGAAGAGACAAGGATAAAGGTAAGAGTTTGAGCATCTTAGATGGAGTAAGTGCAGAACACAAAGGAAGAGTGGCTTTTAGCTTCAATTTACGCAAGAGAGAAAAACAAAGATGCTTTCTGAGAGACAGACTTTATTCAAGCTCTCAAGATAAACACTATCTGCACTAAAATGGACTGTGTTGGGGAAGAAAAGAACAAATCGACCTATCTGAACCATTAAAAAGACATAAATGCATTAGTGGGTCATACCAGTGTATCTTTGTTGCTGTAGTGAACCATCCATCCTTCCTTAATAGCAGTACTGGAACGACGGGTTGTCTGCCGTATAGACTGTACAACCCTCATTAATGGGATGTTTGCACTTGAAGATAAAAACATGCATTAGTACAAATATGCACCAGGTTCCTTTTATTATGAGCTAATTTGGACTACACCTCTGGTCTCCATTAGACCCGCCCTGGTTGTTGTCTGGAGAGAAGGACCCTGGGATGCTGCAGGCCTCGTCAGAGTCATCCATAGACGACTTATCTGAAGCATCATACTCACTGCTGTAGTCCATCGGCACCTCTGGATCCACACTAGGACTCGTGACATCTGCAAACACACAGTGGGCGCATTAGTGTTTGACCCCATATTAATGTACCAGAACAGTGGTTAACAGTCTACTGCTAACTGTAAAGCCAGGCAGATGACTAATGTGACTGTATGGGAAGTACACTATGAGAAAAAACATGTCATATAAGATCATTTCAAATCACACATTAGATGTTAGTTGAGTTAGTTCAAACAATTTTGCATTTTCTACTTAAAAATGCATAGTAAACAAGTCACAGTTTAAAAAAAAAAATGACTACATTAATTTCCTGGAATCTAGCTATACCATGCTAATGAGACAATTATGTATCTAAAAAGCATTATATACAAAATACCACACAGAGAATTCCACAACTTTCAACAGTATTTACTATGCAGAGACATGCATCCACATCACATGCTCAGCACTTACCAGAGTTAGTTCTGCTGTCTAAGAAAAATGGGAAAAAAAACAAAAAACAAAACAACAACTCAGTGAATGTGACCTTGTATAAACTAAAAGAAAATGATAACCTAACAATTTCCTAAATGAGATGCTTTGCCTTTTTGCACTGGGCTAACATACAGAGTACTAGGCTATAACAGAGGGCTGACTGGTCTTTTTCTTACCAATGGTCTCCCCAAGGCAGTCATGGGGAACTTTGTAAGCACAGCGTTTATGGCAGTTAAACTTGCAGTCTGTATAAAAGAATAACGTTTATCATTCAACATGTGACTCTATGAAATAATGAATGAATATAACATTACTTCCTTACCTTTACACTGCAGGCCTTGTCTAAAGAGACCTCGGAGAAGTCTTTTACAGTACTGGCAGACTGTGGGCCGGGTGTAGGAGTGGATGGCAAATGTGTGTGGCACCTTCACTTTGGTCATATAGATCTTGTCCAAATGAACAGGCCGACCGATGTATAAACGCCGGGCATCACTTGCTGTGCGTGGCTAATAAATGAGAAAAGTAATAAAACAATGAAAAAAAGACAAAATACAAAATAATTAATGCAAACAATATTTAAAGACTTGTTTAATGTATCTTATTTCAGAACATAAATAGATTTTAAAGTTTCCCTTTGTCCAGTAAGTACCATTTGTGTGTGTGAGCGGATGAGGCTGGTCTCTTCTGTGGAGGAGGAGGTGGTCCCCACACTCTGCAGAGAGTCAGTAATGGACAGACGCAGGGACTGACTGCTGTTCAGGGACGTCGTGGACAGGCGCCGTTTGCGAGCCCCACTGCAATTATTAGGAATGCTGAATGCACAGCGCTTGTGGTAGTTTAGTCCACATCCTGTAGGTGGAGCCACAAATCCAAGAATAGTATCAAGATTCATGTAACTGAGGAAAGTTTGAGCCCTATACTATTGTATTTATTATGTGTAGCTCAAATATTTTTAATATACAAGTATTTTATCTCACCATCACACTTGAGCCCCTGTCTTACAAGACCAAACAACATCTCTCCACAGTGATCACAGAAAGCAGGCGCCCGGTACGAGTGGACATTTAGTGCATGGGGCCGGATCTGAAAATCTTCAAATGTGGCTGCCGCTGTAAGACAGATTATGATACATCAGTATCCTGTGTTTAAATAAATAGTCAATTTAAATGGGAGAATGTGGTCTGCATACCAGAGAGCACCACCTCCACCAGGTCCCCTTCTTGAATGTCACTTGCACTTTTAACCAGCTGCAAAATGTTGTTGGTGGTTGTGTCATGTTTGAAGAGAAGAATCTTGTCATAAATGCCATAGAAGCCACACTCTGGGAACTGGCAAAAACAAACAACTATTTTAGATGAAAGGCATTATACTTTATGCACACATATAACAATGTATGAAATACAGCTAAAAATATGAGATTCAGATGTTATAAGAATGTTATTATGCTGTGCACATAAAGCCCACATAAAAGCCAAACAGGTTAAATATTATTATAATTAATTCAAATACTGACAAAAAAAATTAACTTTCTGACAATACTGCACTGACCTCACATGCTCATGATGCAACAAGTCAACAACTGATATCTGAGACACACAGTTTACATTGTGCCATGGTAGACAAAGGGGAAACTTTATCCTATTCTTCAATGAGCCTTATGAAAACACACGCATACACACAGGTACGCACACACAGGTACACACAGGTACACACACAGTAGGGGTGGGCGATATATCGATATTTTAAATATATCGAGATCGTTTTTAAACTCGATATGAATTCTGACATATCGTATATATCAATATAATGCTTATATTCAATTCTGATTTCGCCGCTTCGCTTGTTTACCATCTCTCTTGTCGCCTCCACGCGCCCCGCCTCCCTTATTTTGTTCGCTCGTGTCTCCTTCACTCCCCTGAACGCCGAAAGTTGGTGCCAGTGAAAAGCTTCAAGCACCACGAACCTTTTCCACCATTTACAGACAAAACCATCAGCAGCACATCCTCATATTCCACCGAGTCGCGTCCTTTAGCCGGAAAGAAGCTAAACGAGCTGAGCTGCATGAGAAGTGCGCTGTTTATGCAAATGAGCCACGCGCTTAAGTTTCGTTTCTGTAAAATGTAAACACACGTGCGCAAAACTGCATTAAACACATTATTATCGCAAACGGGCTGATGTGGCTCTAGAGTCGTTATGCTTTATATATTGTAAAGTTTAGCAATGTAAAGTTTATTTATGCAGAAGATTTTAATTAATAATCTGCTGCAGTGTCACTTGTACAATAGTGTTTGGAAACATTGGGTTTGATCTGCAGTGGATTGTGGGAAACCTCAGAGCTCCTTACTGCTGGATAATAACATGGATCTATTGAAATAAGGAACATCCTGAGCTTCTTCTGCGAAATGAGCTCATGGTTATGGTTCTGGTTTGGATAACAGAGTTAATACAAAGATGAGCTTGTGTTGAGTTGTTTTATTTATGAATGAAAAGAAGGAAATATGTATTATTTCTTTTATTTTACAGTTAAATTATTATTTATGTAATTAGGGTTTTTTGTAATCTTAAATGTTCCTATATGAACTGCCGACCTCTTACACTTCAATAAAAAAAAAAAGGACCTTGTGGAATTTGGCAGATTTGTTTTTGCAGTTTTCAATTTTAGGGGGTTATTTTTTCTTGAACATATATCGAGATATATATCGTATATCAAGATATAGCAAAATATATCGAGATATATTTTTTGATCCATATCGCCCAGCCCTAACACACAGGTACACACACACACACCCACACAGGTACACACCCAGGTACACACAGGTACACACACAGGTACACACACAGTTACACACACAGTTACACACACAGGTACACACACAGGTACATACACAGGTACACACACAGGTACACACACAGGTACATACACAGGTACATACACACACACACACAGATGTACACACACAGGTACACATTAAGTACTTCAAGAGATCAGAATGATTAACTTGTCACTCAGGGAGTAGCCAAGCAAATGAGGCTGCCATAGGGAAACCCTGGTCTGCTAAATAGTTAATACTGTCTGGTTCACTTCAGTGATCACACCACACAAGACACCACTGCTACACTGAGACACACAGAGCTGAAGAACAGGAAACTGTCTTAAAAATAACAATCACTTTGCAGGTTTGAGGTGGCTATACAGACACAATGGGACTGACAATCAAGCAAATAATACAAACTGTTTATCTATTTTTAACATTTTCAGAAACTAAACCTTTCCGAGCTCTAAACATTAAATGTGGTGCCCAAACTATGGCCCGAGGGCAAAAGACGTCCTTCAGACCAGTTTTTATTACTCATTCTACCTCGATAACCTGAATAACATCACCTTCCATTGTGATACAGGCCTAAGGTACAGTGAGTTTGTCAAAGCTGTGTTAAAGTACTGAATGAGCCACGGTATTGGCCACGAGTCTGTGGACATCCCCTGACTTAGAGGAAAGACCATGGACCAGCACAATAACACACCCCCTCACTTACAAACAGTCACACCCTCGTTGCAAAATACAGGCCTCTCTTTTTCCCTTTCCCTTATTTTCTCTCCCTGGCTTTTCCAACAGCCATCGTCACATCTGAGCCTATCCTGTACGGCTGCCAGCCTGCACAGTCCAACCCGCCTTACAAGTGAGGCGCTGTACTAACTGTACACGCCACCATCAAAGAGAGCAGCACACAAGCACATCTTTTCCATTCATCATAAACCCAGCACTCAGTATCCACTATTGGGTCAGAAACATGCCAAACGTAGGGGCCAATGTCAACTCCATTTCTTGTTTTTGTTAGCAGTACAATACCCACATATAAATGACTAATTACTGTTTACATTTTATTCAAACAAGATACTAAGACTAGATTAAAAACTTTATCTTATTATACGTCAAAACTAGTATAACATCACATGACAATATAAAAAAGAACTAACAAAGTAAAACAAATAACAATGTTAATGTCAACAGTTTTCTATACCACAAAGGTACATTTAAATCAGACCAGGGCAATTTGAGGCCTGTGGGCTGCATCTGTTCCTTGACCTGTTTTAATTTGGCCCCACTAAAGTTTTTGATA